TATTAGTTAGAAATGTGAAAACTAAAAGTTAAAACAAATTATAGATTCAAAATATTTTTCATATATATATATATATATATATATATTATTTATGAAAATTTATTAACTTTCATGTAAGCAGAAGACTGCAGGTTTAATTGCTTGATTTTTTGAAGGAATATTGGATTCTCTATCAACTACATTTTATTGTAAACTTAAGATTAGTTATAAAATTAAGAGAAAATATTAAATGAATATAAGTATTCGATTTTTACAATATATAATTTTATATTTATGTTTTTGAAAACATCAGTCTTTCCTCATTTTAATATTTTTTCTAATAAGAAAATACTCTTCAGAATACTATATATAAATTCAAAATACTATAAAATTTATATTTTAATGTTAAATGTTTAAATTTAGCCATCTAAGTATGGGACATAAAATACATATTACGTTCAGACTGTAATGAATTTATCCACATACCAGAAATATATTCATTTTGAACATATAAATATCATCTTTGTTTCACTTTTCCATCTCTTTTATACATATATACGTTTAAATGGATATTGAACTTACAATTTTATAGATATTTATTTAATTTTCATACTTAATATATCTTCTCGATCTTAAACTACTTCGGGTTTAAGTAGTTCAAGAGGCATACTCAACACACCTCTATGCCTCTTCATCTTCGATATTATATTTAACACATCCATTTGCAACAAAACAAAGAAAAGATCCATGTAAAAAAAAATATTTTTGTGTAACTATATTCATGTAACCGGTACATACGTATTAACAGGGTATAAGAAAATGTTGGAAATTTGGAAATTTTCAAATTTCATTATCAATTACATATTTTAATTGTGCATAGTTAAATGCTTAATTAAATACGATATATACTTGAACAAATATACCATTATATAAATAATAACTTTTCATCCTTAAAATTCAAAGAAATTAAATCATTAATTATCTGAAAATATTATTTCTAAATAGTTTTAACTCTTTTGTAATAATGGAAAATTTTTATTTTTTAAAATATTTATATATAAATTTCAAAAAGAAATATTTAATTACAATAAAATAAATCTATTGTTATTTCGATATTATTATTCTACTTAAATTTGTTGAATAGTAAATATTGTAATATAACATGATCTTTCATTCTTATACTACCATTGCTAAATTTAGCAGTTGTCTCCTAAGTTTATTCGTTTAGCGGCTAAATTTTTAATATCATTTGTGAAATATTCACATCCATAAGTTGCCTTAATATTCCACTCAGACGATGTATCTTATTTTTGCACTTGAAATATTTCACTTTATACTTGAATATCGTGACTATAGATATATGCATAATTTATAAAATATATTCACGTGATATATAAATAAATGATTTAAAAACTTTATTTTAATTTGGAAGGCCATGATTGAGATTTAAAAAATATGTGTTTATTCAAATGTAAAAAGTATTTTTATTGCAATAAATTTATATAATAAAAAATACTTTTTTACTATAAATTTCTATTGTCACTAAATAAAGTGGAGACGAATGTATTTAACAAAAAAAAAAAAAAATTCATTGGCTTGAATTTAAATTTTATAAACTTAAGAGCTATTTATATCAACATGTTGATATATTATGTATTAAGATTAAAAAAAAGATTTGCGCAAAAGTTGGTGAATTCATTTTTGATTTTTCATACAGTGCGATGAATAATCTGTTAAAAATTATAACCAATATAAAGTTAATAAAGATTAATGCCTTCACATAGTTATGTTAAACTATTTATATTATCTAGAAAAAATCTATTTGTAAGAATATTATATTAAAAGCAATTCATATGCAAATAAACTCATATTATATAATGAAATATTTAAATATTTATATATGGATTAAATTAATATCAAAGTTACTATAATAGAAATATAATATTATAATTGTATTTATTTTTAAATAAAGTCCATAAAATTTTAAATGAGAGTATTGAGATTATTTTATAACTAGAATAAAAGTGAAACAAAATAAAATTAATTAAATTATCGTATATTTAAAAATTTGCTAGACTTTTCTCGTTTACAATGCAGCTACATGAATCATTGTTTATCACGTTTTCATAACTTATGATATATTATAAATACGTAAGCTTTGTAAGCTATGTAAAAAAAGACTAAGCGGTATTTATTATAAACTAAAATAAATATTTATTGTTATTGATGGACAAGGGAGGATACTATGCGTATAATATAATGGAAGAGTTTGTATACCCTGAAGGAGAGTAAAGAAATTTAAGCACGGAAAGGACTAAGATAAAAGAGAGATCATAAAAGTCCACTTTGCTTTAGTTTTGCTGCCTCAGCTTCTTCACAAATATTATAAATATTTGACAAAATTGACAATAAATTCGATACCTTTCATTAGAAATTAATTTTAGTATCGAAACATGAAATGAAATCATAATAAATTAATTGCCACGCAGGCATTAATCTTACATCCTTTACTTGCACCAATATTCCATTCTCTTTCTCATTGGTCGACGCACTCTCTCTCTCTCTCTCTCTCTGTCTCTCTCTCTCTCTCTCTGTGTTTATATATATTTATTATTCTCCTCTTTTTGCTTCTTTGTCATATTTTATACTATCTTAATCCTTACCTTCTAATAAACTTCTATTTGTAATTCTATTTGTAATGTAAAGTTCATCACTATATAGTTGCTTAGACTATGTTAACATATACTATGTTAATTTAAAAAAAATATTTCGTTAGGAAATGGGAATTAGTAATAATAAAATTTTATCGCTACAATTTAAATATTGAATTTCTATTAATATAGGAAAATTCTTAAAGGATAACAATACTATAATAAAAATATTAATAATATATTTTTAAAATAATTATATTATTAAAAAAAAATGCTAATTTTCAGTTGAGAATTAATTCCACAGAACATTAGTTAAATTAAAATTACTCTTCTATATGACTCGAATATTAAAATTGTAATTATCATATTAAATAGTAAATATAATTTATATCGAATGAATATTAATTACAGACAATTACATGTTTTCTGGGTTTCGAATGAATTCTAATGATAGAATGTAAATTCTAATGATTGTACTATAGCCATAAATATTTATAAATGTATAACATGTATATACATATTTTTTGCAATTTTTTCATCTGTAATTATATAATTAATTTCAATATTGAAGTTACGTTCGAATTGTCTGCGATATTAATTTAAATGAACAGAGCAAGTTTATACAAAATTATGTGTTACAATAAATGCATTTGGGTTTTACACAAACAATATCCAAACTTAAAAATAAATTGTTAAATTTACAGTTTTCTTTTCTTTTTTTATATCAATATTATTCATAGAAATTACATTCATTTAATCCAGTAATTTGAATAAAGTATTTATCACAGCTTTTTAAGCTATATTATATTTAAGATTTATAAATATTAATCAAACACTTAAAGCTTTATTGTATGAAATTTAATTGATTTATACATATATATGTGAGCCACTACAAAGAAAAGACTTACTATTTAAAAATCATTATCAAATTTGAAATTGATGAAAATAGAAAAAAAAAATAATGGTTTGATTTAAAAATGTATATATACATCCTTATTTAGAGATTTTTAAATAAATGTCGTATTTTTTATTTTTGTGAACATCCAATTTCTAATATTAAAATAAAAATATACGTCTTAAAAATGTTCTTTATTTAAGGATTGGAAGTTTATATTAAAAATCAGTGTGTAACATTGCCGATAGATCGATTAAATAGTTCCTTACAAAATTCTTGGCGCCACATTTTTAAAATACAAATGTAGAAAATTGGATTTTGTATTTTCAGTTCATTACATCAGTTTTCAATCTGTAAACTATATTATTAAATTGATATGGAATTATTTTCTCTAGATCTAGATAGTAAATGTTCATCTCCAATTATGTCTATAATGACAAATTTGTCCAAGTGTTTTTTTCTTTATTTTTTTTTTTTTTTTTTTTTTTTTTTTAATCCAAAAGACATCTAAATATCTATACTTTAGCCAATAAAGATATAACTACGATTGTACTGGCAGCAAATTCGTTCACATACTACTTAAAATGGGCGATAATTTTTCAATAATTCTAAAATATCATTATTACCTTGAAATTACCTATTTGATCGACTATACTTGTTGTAAAAATTCTACTCCAATTACGTTTCATAAATAAATACAAAATCTTAAAATTCACCGACACTGCAATCTCTTATGTTATGATTCAGCAGAGTACAAAATCTACATAATTCGGTGAGAAGAGCTACGGTTATAAGAAAAATATTTAAGAACTGAAAGAATAGAAATATGTAGAATAGGGGAAAAGCCAGTTCTGAAATGTACCATATTTTATATAAGATATATTGTATACAATGAACGAAGGTTCAATGAAAGATCCACCTTATATATATATATATTTTTTTTTTTATGATTTAGAAGCATTACTATAAACAGACATAAATCACACATAGAATATTCTATATAAAGAATATAAATTATCATATTTTTGTCAAATGCAATTTATTTCATTTCTTCCGATATATTCTAATTTCTTCAAATGTCTCAAAATAACTCAGATATAGAAATATGAAAATTTAAAATCATACACTGTACGAAGAAAAAAGCTAAGGCAGATTATGAAAATCTGTACCAATGTGCAGAATATTCATTTTCAAATATGAATAATTTTATTTTTCATCTATTGCTTAATAGATTTTTAATTTCAATCAATAGTCATCGTTTGTTTAAAAAAATACTTATGAATGTTGCATTGCGCGCTCTATAACTCATAGGGACGTTTTAACATAGACAGTTTAATATATTGACTACATAAATACGTTACATTTCAAAAGTTAATAATAATTGTCTAGATATTAAATATATATTATACTTATATTGAAAAATATAAGCATAACTAATCGATGTTATACTGACATTTTATGGATATTACAGAATGTTTGACATGAAAATTAATCAGTAGAAGTAGTTGCTGTGAATAAGGAAGCGAAGATGATTCGCGATTATATAATTCTGTTGTCGTGGCTCTGCACCGTAAGCGGTAAAGAAGGTACGTGTAATCCCTAACATATATCGAAAAATTTAGTATTGGAGAAATTTATACGATACAGTCAATTATTATAAGGAATAATTTCATGTTGTAGGATATTTTTGGCATATCAGTGACATACACTATGATCCAAGCTATTCTATTCAGGGTAATGGTAATGGACGTGAGTACATTATCTTTTATCGATTAACTTTGGACACGACCATGGTTTTCCATTATTATGAATGTTAAAAGTTTAAACAGTTTCTCGAACGAATAATATCAAATAATTGTTTATCTTTCACTGTATTTAATACTAAAGAAATTTTCATATATGACACGATAGATATCATACGATATAAAAATTAAAAAGATGTAATAAATGAAAATTAACGAGCTATTCTCTGTTCGCATTAATTTATTTTTATCTTATAAATAAAAAGACTTTAATGGGATAATTTGAAATAAGAATAATTATGGAATATTTTTTAAATTATGATTGAAAAAATTCGTTGAACAAATTTCTAGATCCTTGTATTGTAAGAAGTGCAGTGATTATACATAATTTTTTACAAAACTTGATAAACTTTACATATAATATCTATAAAAACATATTCATACACTATAATGCGTATTATTTTAAAAAAAAAAAAAAAAAAAAAAAAAATGAAAACAGCTATTTAAAATTAGAATAATATAAAATATTTTCGAAATAATCTGTGATTTATAGTTGAACGGGAAATATGGTTCCTCAAGTTAGAATTGTTAGCGAAGTTGACACTGTTAGTATCGAAGTTTTTCCTACTAAATTCAAGGCTAACAACACTAAAGTTCACGTCGAACTTTATCATCAAATTTTTCATTTTAAAAATTCAGCTTAAATTATACAAAACATAAATGTACATAATGTATTGAATGTTTTGTTAAAATTTTTTGAAATCCGTGATATATTACGTTTCACGTCATTATTATAAACCATTAAACTTAAACAGAGTAAACTTAAGCAATGTGTTTTTGAAATTTTTATATATTTTTTCAATAAAAGATAAATATTCCTATTTCTTATTAGGAAAAGCAAATAAAGTATTACTTAGATTTAAAAATATACTCACATAAATTCAATAATAATTTACGAATATTTATAGTCAAAATATAAATTGCTTAACTGGAAAATAAATCATGACTATTGCTATTTTAACTTAAGTGAAATACCTTCTTGATGACGATAACTGTCAAAATTTTTTTAGTATTTTCCATAGTGAAATATATATATATATGTAACTAGTAATATTTAAATATAATAGAAATTAAGAAAAACTATATTTTACAATACATTCAACTTATAATAATTAATTTGTACCTCTGTTCATGAAAACTTGATTTTCAAATAAATGGGCAATAATTTCTTACAAGTCTTTTCCTACTATTTCATAAATAATGTTATCCATTATATTCTTGTTTCAACAGCTTACAAAGGATATCTATTACGTATTGATTTCATGTTTCATTAAAATAATCGTCAGAAAAAAGCCGTGTTATCATCACTCAGATTATTTCTATTATTCATGCGTTGTTATTTTTTTTTTTTTTTTTTCTTAATTTCCATGTGCATAATAACACGTAGAGGTAATCATTTAAAGAAAAGGAGACTTTTCTATGCGTCCTGAAAGTATTCAGTCTTTTTCGCAGGATGTTGGAACACAAAAAACAGTGCTGATATTGGCCACACGAGGTTAAACGACAAGATGCCAAGTGCCGGTATTTACGGACACTATAACTGTGATTCATCTTGGCTTCTTATTGAATCGGCAGCGAAAGTCATGAAGGCGAATCCTGCTGATGGCATAGAATTCGTTCTGTGGACTGGGTAAGTAAGCGCACATTGACATATATCATCGCATTAATATCTTTAATATAGTTATGTGCAAGAAATAATGAAATTCTCGAAATACTATGATATAATTCTGAAAATATCATGGCATAATTCTTGAAGAATTTTAGTGGAAATACGTTGAATGAAAGCAAAATATTTCACCGCGATTCGTTTCAAGTAAAAATAAACATAATAGCGTGGAGAAGAGGAGTTTGCATACACTCGCACGCACACGCATTCAAACACACATATTTATCGCAAATACTTGGCATATATGGCAAATTTTTCTTAAAAGTCATATATGTTTTAGCGAACCATACAAGAATAAATAACAATTGCAATAAGCTTCGTTTCTCATTTTCTTTAGGTAAATAAATCTGAAATTATTATCCATTCATTAGCGTATCCGTTAATAATGTTTTTTAATTCAAATATATTTACTACAACATGAAAAAGTAATTGAAGTAATAATATTGTTTAATTATAAAAATTAGAATGAAATGTTTATTATGAAAAAATGCATTATATACTTGTATACTATTATTATAGTAATAAAAATTACAATGTCTAAATTACAAATTTTATTTAAAGTTGCGTATAATATAATGCGTAATAAATTATTATTACATAAAAAATATATAAATAAATATTATTTAAATAAAATAGATAGAAAGCATATTTTTAATAATATTGAAAATATATGTCAATAAAGATAATATGTTTCAAAATAATAATAAAAATATAAGTATTAATTCTATAATTACATGAAAATTCTAATATAAAATAGTATTAAATATAAGAAATGAATGGAAAAAGGATAAAAGAAGCGAAAATGCAGAAAAATTTACATACTTTAACTACAGTAGAATAATATCTGAACAATGCTAAAATCGTTAAAATATAAATATAGTAACAATTTAAATTCACATCAATAATTAAAAAATGATAAAGTTTCGAAATAAATCAGAGTATTATATGAAACAAGTGATGATGGAATCTTTAGAATATTAATATAATTTAAATATAATAACCCAATATAATATTCATCGCCTATAATTTAAACTGGATATAAAATGTTGATAATAATATAAAATATATTGAAAATATACTAAACAAAAGAAAAAATAAAATGAATAAATTTCTATAAAATTTAAAGTAAAATATGAATGAATATAAAAGATAAAAATTGGAGAAGAATTTTAGGTTTAAGACATATAAATTTAAATTTATAACATTTAAGCTTTAAAACATAAGATTAATAAAGTCGAATGATTTTAGAGAAAAAAAAACAGAATATTGAACTACTTGAAAATAAAATTGATTTTATTATATTAAAAATATAATATGTGTAAAAATAGATCATTTTAAAAATGAACGAATACGGTATTTAAGGAAATAATATAATATGGAGGAAATTCTGATAGAATATATATCCAATAAAATTGTAACCTGACCAAATAAATGAATTATAAAATTTTAATTTTTGAAATTTGAATAATTGGAAAAAGAAAATAGTTTTAAAATATAATAGGAAAATAATGTTAAAATTAATACATAAATAAGGATACAAAATTTTAAGTAAGTTGGAATTTCTCGACTAAAATAAAGGATTTTCACTGCTGATAATAAAAAAGAGATAAATCAAATAAATGTACAAACGAAAAAGGTATAGCAAAATTTATTGTATTATGTGATTTGTAGCAATGATAAATAACTCAATAAATTAAAAATATATAATTAAAAAGAAATGTAAATATATAAAGCGAACGGATACATAAGAAATAAGATTAAATACAGCTTTAAGTAGATTAATGTAAAATAAAATTGTAAAAATGATTATAATGAAGGAAGTTGAACTATAGAATCTTAATTATGAAAGAAATAATTATGAAGATTATTATTTCGAATATATATCTTTGAATAAGTGAGTATGTTCATAAGAACATCAAATTAGTAATTAAAATACTAATTAAAATTGAATAGAAATGGAAAAACTATTAGTAAAAGTATAATGAAATGTTTCTCATGTAATGGCTCCGATATAATATAAAATAAAAATGAAAAATATGATATGGTTAAATTAAATTCTTGTATACAACGTATTATACAATATATTTATGTATTAGAATTAATGAATTTTTACACTTTTAATATCATACATAATACATTCATTTGTTTGATCAATTACTATTTTATCTATTTGTATAAATATTTTTTAATAAATAGTAATTTATCTGATTTGGGAAGATTCATTTTACCTTACAAATACATCAGAAAATATGTTTTTTATCAATCAAATCAATTAAAAAATCAATCAATATAAAAACTAGTATAATTAACAACGCGATACAACAGTTTGTCAATTTCATTCCGAAAGTTTTTTCCTCTTATCTTTTGCATCAAAGTTACTCAATTTATTTGCATAGAAAGAGAATAAAAGTCAACATCGTTCATTAATTGATCATACATTAATTATATAATAGAGCCGTATAAGCATAACTTTATATAAATAAACTCATATAAAATGATCAATAATCTCTAATTAAAAAATCTCTCTAATTAACCCCAATTTTATCGTTTTGATAGGAAAACAATTTCTACTCATCATAATATCCTATACTGTAAAGCCAAGCGTAAGCATGTGAAAAATATCCCTATCTAAGCTATCTCATTTAATGGGCGCCTTAACATCAAAGGCTTTACTATATATCTTGATTATAACTTTCTCAAACATCTTCGCTCTTAAGTAAATTCACTGATATCGGAGGAAGGTTGGTTGTGCATTAAAATAAGACGATGTGTAAAGCCGATTTATTCCTTCGTCCTTAGAGGAGTCACTTTTTTTTCAAACTCTCATCTTATTGCTTCCGCCCTTAGAAAAATGGTTTTTATTACAGAGAAAAGAAAGATGTAGGTGAGGTAGTATCAAATGTATATAATCTATATATATATATATATATATATATATATATACAGGCACACACACACACACACACGCACACACACACACACACACACACACACACACACACATATATATATGATATTGCCTTCCGATGAAGCCTGAGACAGGTAGTGACAAGTTTTCCAAAGCCCTATCTTCTTCATATATTTGTTTCAGACTTCTTCAAGCGTAAAAATTGAGAATATATAAAACTTCTAGGAAGGATCCCAGTCCTTTTGATGTGTAACAAAATTCTACCAGCGGTTGATAAAAATAAAAACTTGAAAATTGTCGGACGCAATTTATGTTGTCGTTTTTTCACACTATAACTCAATAACTTCTCGACTATGTTTATTCGCAAGTTCCCAAATGATTTTAATAAAGACATTATCTTTTTAATCGAAATGTCATTTAAGTATTTATTTAACGTTTAATTTATTTGATATTTAAGCTAAGCCATTCGAGGCAACTAGTGTTACCTTGCGTGTTATCTTGGTGCGCGTGAAGAAAATTTCGAAACATTTAAAAAAAAAAATGTATATAATTAAATTTTTGAAGGCTTAATTAATACAGTGAATTTGTAACTTGAGACTTATTTGACCATTAGTTTGCAAAGACGTTGCGATAAAACTTTTCGCCTTATTTCCGACAATTACGTGGTCGGGAAGTGATAACCTTCTATTTCAACTTGTCTAGTGTATAATGAGAATTTCGGCATGAACTCACTCCTTAATTGGAGTTGCCGCTCAGACTTAGTTCTTTCCGCTCGCTAATCAGAATGCACAACGTAGAATAAGTTCTTTTATTAACTTAACTAATTAGGCAGCTTAAAGGCCTCGTTCTCGATTAATTTACTAATGTGCAAAACAATTATTCTTCCTAAACAAGTGTAAAGATTCGAGTCTTTGAAGTTGCAAGTAATGTGCATAAATAAAGTCTATTGTCTTGAACGAACATTCAGCCGAGTAAGAAAGAAATGAAGGTTGCCCACTTTATTAGAGCTTTTCTAAAAATTCATAATACATTTAAAGAGATAGTCTTTCTCCGTACCTATAATTACTTCCATCGCTACTTCCTTTTGCCAGCGATACGTTTATCAAGAGAAAATCAGAAAAGATTGCAAATACAAGATTTTATTTATTTATTTTTTTTTTTTCCAAGTATCTTTTTATTTAACAGATAAATATTGTATCTTGCATTACACGATAAAAAATATCTTATAAAAATAAAAATACATTATAAATATTTAGTAATTTAATACGGTAAGTGTATAAGAATAGCCTATTAAGTACTTACATATTAAATTTTCAATATACTTTGCAACAAACATTTCACAAATATTTAATTATATCCAATAATTCTAACTATCTTGAAATTGTTTTATCTTAAAATTTCTAAGTCATATTATCGATTAAATAATCATTAAATTAAATATTATTGCGAAATTTGAATCATTATAATGTTATTTATGTTAATCTACGTGATAAAAAGTAATAGCGTAACAACATTATCCTATTAAATAATCACGTGTAATTTAAATTTTCAATAAATCATATGCTCAATAGGTATAATAAATTTTTTATTGAAGATATCTAAGAATATATTATAATACGTAAATATTTTTTGGAATATTTAGGCCATACTTTTCGTAAATTCCTGTCTTAACAATAATTGGCTATTTATCGACTTTTAAATATTAAAATTTTTAAAATATACACAGACACATTGCCATCGTTCACTTAAAACCAGCGTGAAATTTATAAAAGATAACGAAGAACGCTATTATTAATCAATATAAAATATTCATTGTGAAAAATAACAAAATTATGATAGAAGATAAAGTAGAAAAATTAACTATTCATAAATCTTTACAGTGACGCTTTATCACGACACGAAAGCATAACAGAGGAATATCGACTACAGTACCTGAAAAATATTACCGATCTTCTGTCGCACACTTTCACGGGCCAATTTGTATTTCCGGTGTTGGGTCACGAAGATATCGGTTTAAACTATTCGCAGATCGCTAATCTTTGGAGTAACTGGTTACCTGATGAAGCGCTCGTTACTTTTAGAGAAAGTAAGCATTATTTTACTAGAATATATGTACAGGTATTTCTCTAAAATAATGAACAATTTAATTTAACGTTAGTATTAATATTGTTCTTTGCGAACATTATTTTGGAAATTTTCGAAAGACTTTGTACAATGTTTTGTGTATCAAAAAAAAAAAAAAAAAAAAAAAAAAAAAAAAAACATACACGCAAAACATCTCTTCTGGATATCATAATAAATGTCTTTCTAGAATTTCACGTTTTTTGATAGATCAAATGTTGATGAATTCGATATCACTAATGTATAAGGTTGCAAGAATTTTCTATAACATATCCCTATGTATTTACTAATAAATTCTAAGTAATTCATTAAAATTATTTTATCGAATATTTCAAGTACCATCCATGTTTCTATAATTTAAAAAAATTATCAAATAATTATTTGCTCAAAGACACTAAATCAGAGGAATAAATGTTTATTCATTGAGTGCAATACTCTAAAATTTATTATGAATTTATTGAAAATGAATGCGCGTCTGATGCGTAAAATTACATGTGATTGTGTAAATAGGCAAACTTGGCTAAGCAAATGTTTGCGATCTATCAACAATACAACAATATAATTTCTTAATTTCCGAATAAAATCAATATACGTATTAACGAATTTGACAATTACGAGAGAATTTCACTGTCCGGCTGTTCTCTCAAAGACAAAAAATAAAAAATCTACCGTCACTATATGACACTTTCATAAATATATATGAATAAATATAAATATAAATATATAAATATAAATAAATAGCCTAATTTTATCGGGATAATCTTTCAAAGCTTGTGAATTAGTTGTTAATGAATTGTTCATTGATCAATAAACACTTAATTTCACAGAGAATTCAACCATAACCCTCTAATCAAAGCGTCACACATACAAACACAAACACAAAAGAAAGACACACAAAATTGCATGGGACACGTTGAGAAAAGTCTAATCGCGTAATCGCGCCGCCGTTACATTAACGCAGACGGCTACTACACGATCGAGCAGCGCTCCAAAAATTATCAGATTATATCCCTGAATACGAATCTGTGGCTCGCCGCAAACACGGGCATTGACAATCGTATGCCCAGTCAACGTGCGGTTGGCAGTAGTGCAAGTGTCACCCTGGCTGCAGCATCACCGGTCATAAGCGACGCTGATCCGGCCAATCAGTGGCACTGGTTCGGCTCGACACTCAACAAGGCCCGAAAAAAAGGAAAGATCGTAAGTCGCATTGCATTCTTTGAAACCTATCTTTTTTCTCTCCAACCTCCTCCTCCTCATCCCCCCACCAAACCCCAACAATATATTCAATTTATATAAGACGTTATTGTGGTTGTTATTGTTATTTCAAGTAAATTCCTTTTTTAGATAATTATTTCTAATTATTCAACGATAATTCGTTTATATATATATATATATTGTTCAAAGATTGAACTAATGAAATTTATATTTCATGTCGAATGAATTTATTAATATTTCTTTAGCTATTCCTAAATAACGATTATACAATTCTATTTCAGTCGCGATAATCTGGCTTATTTTACAAACATTTCGAGCGTACAAGATTATAAATATATTTTAACTTGATAAAATTAGCGTATAATCGATATATTGCACTCAAGGACAAATTGATCTAGAACAAAAGTTTTAAATTACTCACATCGGTAACAGAAGAATCTGTTTCGAAAAGTATGAGTCAAGCAATTTTGCTTTGCTCGTCATCGGAAAAACTACTTCTCGAGGACTCGAAGTTGGGAGAGCGAAGAGCAGCCAAAAATCAACAATCGAAAGGAAGATGTGCGCGAATCGTTAAGAAATAGCACTCGTTAAAAAGAGATGTGGAAAACTATAACATGCCGTTATAATCCAAGTTATAAAACTTTTTACCTTAAAATAAATACGAAAAATAAGAGAGTAATTTGCAATTAGACGGGTAGTAGTCTTCTATCTTCTATTACTTAAAAACTACAACGAAGCTTCGTTTGTTCTTCTCCAAATAGCCATTCCGATAATAATTTAACAATTATAATAACCAAAAAGTTATATATTAACGCCACTATAAAAATCAATACGCTTAATTTATTCACATTTTTTATTGGTATGGTAATCGATTTTTATAGTTTTTTTTTTTTTTTTTTTTTTTTTTTAAATGATCCTAAACGGAAAGAATTATGCTGGTTTGAATGCTTGAATACTCAGATCAATAAAATACGAAAGTCTTTCATTTAACAAAATGTAAATTAATGAAAATTAACTTGACATTTTGCCAATTTTTGAGCTAATTATCCAGCGCGATGCAAATATAAAATATAATTCCTTTGAAAATTTGAAGATACAGTTTTTAATTATAAAATATAATTTAAAGATTCAGTTCATTAAGATTTTATCTTAAACTAATTATATAAATTGTATGAATTACAATATTATTATTTGCAAGCGATAGAGAGAGTGAGAGTGAGAGTGTGTGCGTGTGTTTGTGTGTGCGCGTGCGTGCGTGCGTGTTCGTGCGTGTGTGAGGTCAGATATATATATATATATATATATATATAGAGAGAGAGAGAGAGAGAGAGAGAGAGAGAAAGGAATTTATAATATTACTTAATGTAAAGGGATGAATGTTCATTGATATTGATAATTTACATGGCATAGTGGGCTTAAGACCTGCTTTCCTGATAAAATGTGCGGCACTCTGACGGGCTACTCACGTCAACTTTTCACAGTCGAACGAGGTCAACCATTCAACTGTACAACCAAATAGCGCAAAGCCTGCTCTATCCACTGAACAAGAAAGAATAAAATCACAGAATAAAAATAAACCTATACAATCACGAAAAATTGCATAATTTAATCCGATAAAATATTAAGAATATTTACAAACAAAAATTAATTTCACATCAGGAGATAATAATTTCAGACATTACTAGGCCCTTAAATCTTCATAAAACGAATAACTAGGAAACAAAAAAGTTTATATCGAACATAAGAATATCACGCTGAGCTTATTTATGAAGAGAACATAATATGTTTATATTAGATAAGTCGATAAAAGGTTTTGAGCTATGGTAGATGTTTAGGAAGTAAAGCAAAATAAATTTTTTATACGAATATTAGGAGGTAAACGAAAACAAATTGTCATATATAAATGAAATGAGTTTCAAAGAATCTGAAAAATTTATTAAGCAATCGAGGCCATTTCTGAATTATTAATCAAAATCCAATAGTCCAGTAATATAGTACTAAATTCCTAAAATATCCTTAAAAAAAAAAGTAAAAGATATTTAAAATATTTTAAATTCGACTATAATTCAAAGAATCCACTTTTAATTGATACAAGATAAATTAAATAAAAAAAAAAAAAAAAATCACATCGTTTTAAAAACTATGCTTTACTAAATTACTAATAGTTTTTTATTAGAAATTACTTAGGAAGCTTTTTAATTATCCTTATAGATTTATCGAAATTATGTTTTAAATTAAATGTTGTAACTTAAATAATATCAATAATATCAATATCATAAAAAATTTGTTCCAAATTCTTTAAATAAAGGAAATTTTAATTTTAAAATCGAAATAATAACCAAAAACCGTATTTAAAAATGCTAATTTTAATAATGTTGAAGATTAGTGTAGTTGTGCACGAGTTTTCATGCGTAGGTGAGATATATTTAAAATGACCTATACTTCTTTTAATCTAATCTATTATTTGTCAAATTTGTATACACCGAGTACCTTATGGTTCAAACCAATTGAATGGAAAAGGAAAGGATACACAGAGTGTAAAGTGACCAATCAACGATTGCATCGCTGCTCATCGTTTTCCCAATCGATAGTTCGCGCAACGATAGCATTCAATGGAGTAATGATTTTTTTGAATTTATTACCCTTTTTATTGCTCTTTTAAGTTCTCTCTCTCTCTCTCTCTCTCTCTCTCTCTCTCTCTTCCACCCTATATATATCTTACTCTATTATTATTTATATTTCATATTTTTTAAAGAAAATAGATATTGAGCATATTCACTGGCTGTCACAGGCTTCGTAGAAATCTTGTGTGAACAAAAGCACTAAATTACCAAACCAAAACTAACGCTTTGTGTTTGATTGTTTGGAAAAGCTTTCAATTAGCTTAAATTTAGTATTTAGAAAACATGAAATTCCAAACGTTTCTATATATATTGTAATATATACCATGTAAACATAAATCAATTCTGTATAAATAATTTTCATATTATAAAACGAAGTTAAAAAATAGTTACAATACTATTGAATATTAATTATATATATATATATATATATATATATATATATATAATTGACAATTTATTAGTAAAATACTTAACAATTTGACGCTATGAATTTCAATTTATACATTCATACACTTCGGAAAAAAATTTATTTAAAGGTTTTCTATTATTAATATACTTGTAATGAAAGTAAACCAAAGTGTTCAGATAATCCAGTATAGATACCACTAAATACCAAGAGATATAACAACAATTTAGTAATCATAATTAATATAAAATTTCTATATTTAATAGTTCTAGTTTTTGCATATATCATTATTAATAATAGATGAAAAAATTTAACATATAAATTTATTTAATTTCTTATCTAGATTTCAAACATCCAAATGTAATTATACAAAATGAAAATATATTATATATTTTTATACATGAATACTATCATACTATTTTTGAGATTATTATTGCCAAAGAATTAACATAATTTTATAAGATAAGATAATTTTAAATTGCTAGAATAAAGGTCATTGGAAGTTATATTATTAAAATTTATCTCCTCTACATATATTTTTGAATTTATATTTTACGTCTCTTAAAATTTTGATTTTACAAACATTTGTATAAATAAAATAATATTATATCGACAGATGAAAAATGAATTTGAATATAAAATGTAAATACAAATTGGGTACTTTATGACGTACATGATATTTCATCATATTAATTTAATGGACTTTTTCATTTGTATATATAATTTTACAACAATATGATATCGGCGAATAATAATATCTTGGAATCGTAATGTATTTGGCGATTATAGTTATTAAATGTTATTAGTATATTACTATTAGTTTAGAAATTATATAGGAAAAATGATTTTTTATTGTAATTTTGTCTTTTCTCATTTAACATATGGATGGATTTTTTATACATATCCGAGTTTTGTTTGTATTAAGAATTTTGATTTCATATTAGATGTTATATTCAAAGAATAAAAAAAAAAATTATTCTTCTTAAACGTCACCGAAAAAAATTATCGTATTAACATAAATGATCCTTTCATTGACATAGATAATAATAATTGAATTTTTTTATTTCATTAAAATCCAAAAAGAAAAATTGAGTTACCGAGTCAAGTAATGCTTATAAAATAGAATAGAAAAGAATTAAGTAGTTTGATTTCAATAAGAAGCTTATTTAGAAGTTTATACTCGAGAAACACGTTTCAACTTTACTTCAACGCTCGGGATACAGTTCGATGCTACATCAGCATATTTAGGATTTACCGTCATTTTAATGACTATATAATGATAATTATACAACGAATGGCAATTTTTACCATGGTTTTTATTTAATAAATAATACAAATTAGTTATTCAGTATATTGTAACTGAAATTTCATGTAAATGGTTAAGCTTTAACATTAATCGGAATATGCACATTAAGCATCATGTGGTAATCAACTTTTATTATAATGAAATATTTTGTTGTCAAATCATATTTTGTAGTCATAACTTTCCTAAATTATGTAACATTTTATCGGCTACATTTTATGATATGATATTGAAAATATTTTTTGCAACGTAAACGCATGCACTTTCGCACATTTATAAATATTTATGTCCATATGAATATCAAAATATCGATGGAGTAAGCATATTCACAAAATAAAAATGGTATACAATTACGGGGAGAAAGGTTAAAGGTAAAAACGGAAAAGCCTGTGAAGTGCGCCTGAAAGTCATTGGCGTTAATGATGGTGATACATTAAGGCAAATACTATTGCATGAAATAGTAGAGTTAGACGAAAAGTTGTTAAAAAAAAAAAAGTGACAGACCCGATCCATTTGCTTCTATCGTGTATGCAATAATTAATCAAAAGTGCAAAATTATGCGAACTTTACGAAGCACTAAAGCTTGAACGTTGCAATATATTTCCTTCGCTGTTTAATTTTTCCTTCCATTATCATTTCAGTAATTTCGATAAAATTCTCATCGCAATAAAAAAATGTAACAGTGCTTACCTATTTTTTTGTTTAACGGCAAATATAATGTGAACCAATTTTTCTTTTTAATATAAATTAGTAAAATTAATAGAGACACAATCTACTTTCTTTCTCCTACAGTTAATAGATCGAGTAACAATAGCTTTTCAACGTCCTCTTTCAATTTTCAAGTCGATTAGCGTAAAATTGATAAAATAGCATTACCGAAAAGGTGATGCAGAAAATTTCAGAAAATGTCAACACTAAATAATCTATCGAGTGAAACTGACGATTGAATGGACTAAAATCGCAAATGCACATCTTTGTTTGAAGTATTTTGAGAGTTGATTTACTTGACTACGAAAAGAATTGATATCTCAAGATGAAATTTTGGTATTAAAAGTATTGGACATTAGAGATCAAATGAGGGAATAGAAAATATAAAATAAAATGAAAGTTTAAATGGCAATGACTCTTGATAATAGACCGATAGTACATGCTCTAACACGCTAACACTGTTGATCAAAAAGAATTTGTAAATCAGACAAAATATTTACAAAGTCATAATGATCCATTGATGCCCAAATTTTTATGAATTTAATAATAATAATAATAATTATTATTATTATATTGATAATATAATACTTATTAAAGATGTTAGATTTATATTATAATAATCTTAAAAGTTCGCCTATAAGAACCAAAATAATTTTCTATAAATGTACTATTAATTTTCTTCGATACGCAATAAATGTTACGCAATTTCGCCCGGATTATTACAAAAACATACAAAATCGAAATATGTGTGTTTAACAAGTGTGTGTAAAATGTAAGCTTAACGAATGCAAACTTCAATAATGCAATGTATACCTGTAATAAATAGTCTTGACAATTAAAATTTCTTAATACTTTAAGTAGTTTTTTTTCTCTCTCTTAAGTACATCATTCAAATGAATTCGTTTTCACAATCATTCTGTCTTATCGAGTAAACTATCGAGTACAATATAAATGATAGACAGAAATTTAATATCTACTATGTCAATGTTACATCGTAATTAATAATATTAATTTATTTACTTAATATCATGATTTCCACCAATAAATGTGATAAATATAATTATATCATAATAACTTAAGACAATTTTTGACTTCCTAAGCGTCAATTTGCCCTTGAATTAATATAATGAACATTAAACTACAACTTAAAGAAATACAAGTATTTTAAATAAATATTTCAATTGCAATATTTTAATATTGTTTTTTCTATAATTGCTTATGGATTAATAATAGAGTAATTTAGATATGATATTATTTGAGAAAAATATTGCTCAAAGTATGAAATGAATTTTTTCATCATTTCATTCAATTTTTTATTATTTCCTCTTAATTAAAACTAATCTATTATTCTATAAAACTATTAACACAATAAGAAAATAAATTGTTAATTATAGAAAATAATGTAATTAACGATTGTCTGATAAGTAACTTCTGTGAATTAACGATATGTGATGCCTAGTAGAGTAATATAAAATTTTTAACTTTATTATTTATATAAATGCATTCATTTATAAAAAGTAATTTATTTAAATATTTGATTAATCTAATAATCTGTAGATCATACAATTGACAAAGAAATTATGCAAAGTACTTAAATTTTAGCTGTTTATAATCTTTCTCGTATGATCGAATTTTTCTCGATCAATTTACCAATGGGTCAATTATTTTCGAAATTAATAAGTAAAAATAGTGATAAGGAAATGATTGTTATATGCGTTCCTTATTAAATAATAAAGAATTTTTTTTGATTATTAATTAACTCATCCTTGACAAATTATTATTATTATATGGGAGTATAATTTTTATACTTTTAAACTTATCGTTAATTAAAAATTTTATTTTATTAAAAGTAGAAATTTTATTAAAATTTACAATTCCGTTGTCAAATTATTTCATTCGTCATATACTAAAGGCATCATAAAATAATTGAATTAAATATTTAAAATCTTTTAATAATTCGCTCGCTTTAATTTAAAAAAAAAAAAATGTAAATGGAAATATACCACGGGATATGGATGAATTTAAATTGTCTTTATTATTTATAATTGAATAAAATAGATGTAATTAAGTAATTTAATATGCTTTAATATTTTATAATTAATGGCACAAATCTCTCTAACGGTAATAAGCTACTCCGACTTAAATAATAAATTGTTTTGCACTTTAATCATTTATTGTCGGAATAAAATATTTGAAATTAATTGTGAAAATTGGAGTTATCAGTCGTACGTCAGATAATATTAATAGCTTAATTATAAGTAACATTTCTTAAAATCACATATTCTTTTTTGCTTTATATAGAGATATATAAACCGACGAATGTAACATGTTGAAATGTAATTTACAAAGACTTAAAACGCTATCGATACTATTATTATAGCATATAAGCAACAAAGCTGTCAGTAATATTTTCTTTTCGTAATGTGATTTATAACAATAAAAAGAAAGGGAAATAGAAATAGAAATGTCATTCAGTTTCAATATACATTCAAAATAGCATTACAATCAAACGAAAGTAAACACCGACGTATTGCGAACGCAAACTATATTACGTGAATTAAAGCTCTCATACAATATAGAATTTTATTTTAGTTATAAGATAAAATCTGACATGCACATGACCTATCGAAATAATTATTGTAGGAAAACGTAGTATATTCCACTTTTGTCACGATTTTGTCATACTTTTTGTTTGTATTAACAATGTTTATTACCACTAATTTGCTCAATATCTTATTTGCGTGTGTTAATTTGAAAATGTATTATTGCATTATTGAATTTAGTGCTGTCGAGCATAGCCGAAGAATAAGAAATTGAATTTTTTTTTACTAGATAACCTCTCTAGACTCGTTGTATAGAGAAAAGAAGAGAAAAAAAATGTCGATTAAGCCTCAATTTAATCATAATAGTGTCAAGACACAGATCTACTGCTCATTATACAGCAATTTAAAATTAAACATATTATTGTTTATTAAGAGCGAAATTTCTGGACATTCTATCGGCTTGCATGAAAAGACATCTATTCTGTAAATATCTAATCATCAATTTCTAATTATGATTGCAGGTATACATAGTCGGTCACACTCCACCGGGTGTCGATGATCGCGAAGTTGGAGCCAGTGGCTTAGCTGAGCAACATAACGCCCGATACTTGCAAATAGTTCGCCAATATGCTGATATGATACGCGGCCAATTCTTCGGTCATTGGCACTCAGATACCTTCAGGATTATATACAATGACAATGGTTAGTACGTGATTGTATTGTCTCATTGGCGGGGCGGGGAGGGGAGATTCCGCTTATGGTACTCGATATTTAATTTAAATAAAATATTTTGCTTTTCCCCGCGTCCCCGCGCTTTATCCGACATATTCGCTATCGACGTGAAAATTCGTCTAAAGGAACGTTATTCCTAATTGGCTCGATATTTTTGAGATTTTAGAAAGGTAAAATAAAGCATAAGGAACGACTTTTTAATGACGTTAGCTTAAAATTGATAGAGGTTTTCTTTTACTGTTCGGATGTTCGTGACAAACACAAAACAGATTTATTATCGCGTACGTGATTGATAAAAGGAGAAGGAAAAATCAGATAATCCTCCGTGGTTTTGCGGCGAGACTGAGAAAACGTCAAGACTAAAGGAAAAAGATATGGCCCCGACGTCGTCCCGATAAAACTAAGTAAAAGTAGTCGGGAAAAAAAAGTTGAAAAAGAGTCAGGGATGATAAGATGAAGTGTGCTAGTCATATCTATTCCACTTGAGAGGTAGGGGAGCTTCCGACAATCTGCGACCCTCGTATGTTAGTTTTACAAAATTCCAAAGTGCACATCATGCAGTGTTTTGAGGACGGTGTCGTCTTCAGTCATACATTTTTATATAAAATTGTGTATGTCAGCGAGTACGTTATGTGCGAGAGTACGGGCGGATGGGGTCGTAGACGGTCTCTCTCTCTCTCTCTCTCTCTCTCTCTCTCTCTGTCTCTCTCTCTCTCTGTATGTGTTTGCGTTTGTGTTTTGGTGTGCATGCGTGGGTATGTGTTCGACCTGGGTGGATGGGTAGGTGTGTAAGCACTAGCGCGCTAATGGGAAAAGAAGGATGAGGAGAGGGGAAGAGCGAGGGAACAAGTAGAGTAACGAAGTGCATCTGGGAAACGCCCCAATTAGCGGTAAGTCGTCGTTCTCTTTTTTTCGCCGCTACAAAATCTCGGTACAACGACATCAGATATCCAACAACGATTGCGCCAAACTTTGTTGTCACACTGGGATTGCGCCGCCTATATTTTTAAGCTCAAAAGTAACGGCCTAGCGTAGGACGACATGCCGTCGGTGAAATTCTATTATACGTGGCTGGGACAACAAAATGTTAGTTGTCCCCCAAGTTTTTTCCCCTCTAATTGCACTCGGCCGTTCTCCGGATACTGCCAGCTACAATGAGGAAATTCGCCGAATGCTCGTGACTAATATGTACAAGAGCTGCGGCGGAGCATGCAAGTGCTCCAGGTAAGCTCATTGGTAAAGTGGAGTTCCGTTAAGAACTCCTTATTGTAGTCGAGAGACAAAGTGGGAAGGAAAGTTTGATACAACTCGTCCAGGTCGCGTCATCGGGCTTGAAGAGAAAATAAATTTATCATGAATTATGAAATGGCGTAAGTTAGAGAATTTTCACTGTCATGTATTTTCACTAATCGTACTTCATAGATTATCGATTATTTTGATTGTTTAATAACGCGGGCATTCGTATTGCAGAAATACTTTTGTGCTCTATGTTCTTTATGTTTTTATTCTATAATTTTTGTTTTATTTTTAATGAATATATTGTGTCCTTTTACTACTTCTCTGTGTAATATAATTTTAATCATGATTTCAGACGGTAATAATCGTAAATTGTTCTAAAATTATACATTACATGCAATAGTATTGTATTATTAAAATGCTCAAGTTTTTACTTTTTAATTGAAAAAGTACAGTTTTAATTAAATTTTTATATCTATCATTACAATGAAGAGATTTGGCATTCATATTATTAACGTAATTAGGCTTTGTTAATCATCATCGTCGACAATAATAAACGAAGGGCGAAAGAATTTATTATTGATACAAATAATAAAATAATTTAGTGGCGCATTTTCATAATTTAAGTGAAATAAAAAACAAAACTCTGATTGCGAGCTCAATCGAAAGAGAGGAAGAGTTTTCGAGAAAACACTTTTCGAGAAAACAGTTTTCGAGAAACAAATGTATTGTATTTTGTAGATGAACCGGTATCTTGGATAATGGTGACTCCCTCTATCACTCCGTATAGAGTTGTCGGTCCGAATAATCCCGGTCTAAGACTCTACAAATTTGATAACGACACCGGACAGGTACTGCAGATATTTTTTTAAATACTTTTACCGTACAATGAATTACCTTCTTTATGTTTAAGCTTACGCTAAGCCTTTTGTGTCTAGTGGAATACACAGAAAAAAGAAAATTTAAAAGAGAATCTTGTTACTTCCTATAATATAATGAAGAAAAAAAAAAGAAGGGTCAAAGAATTAATTAATTTCCCCTTTATATTTTAAAATATTAACTTCATAGATATTCAAACAGAGGAGAAAGAAACGCGTAATATTTTATAAAAATATATATTTTTTTGAAAATTATTCGCTAGATAATTTTTGTGTACATTATAATAAGATAAAGTAAATTTATTAATTGTATGAAATAATTAAAATTTCTAGATTATCTATGCAAGACTTTTAAATTCTAAATTCGGATGAATTTTTCAAAGATCTAACCTATGCTTATATTGTCAGCGCATTAACGTTAAGAATTCCAGTTTGTTAGACCTCTAGAATGTAGCTACCTGCATTCTACAAATACTACCTAAGTTATTCTCTTTAATGTTTAATTAATGTTGCATATTGTAAGCATAATAAGTCGTATATTTTTAGCCATTAGTTTTACTTGCTGTATAGTTAGTTTGAAATTATGAAATTAATTTTAAATTTAAATTGCTGTTTCATTTGCACGCTCTGCGTTTGAATAAATAGTGTAGATAAGTCACTTATAGGTATTACGATTTTTAAAATAAATTTTAACCTTAACATGTCTTAAGCAAAGACTTAAAAAGAAAATTGTTTTTTTTTTTTTTTTATTTTAAATCAAATTTTAAATACACGAATTGATAAGCATAGCACTTCAAGCTTCCCATAATTCATGTCTATAAAATATTGTCTTTGATTATCAGCCAAAGGAGAATTAACAAATCAATTTGGAATTTTTGGCAATTTATGAGAATATTATAGAAAGTACGGAGACCGGCTTTCTTTCCTCCCTTAAGTACTATTCTCGATCCCGAACTTACGTCAAATATATATTCTATTACTATAGATTGTCGATTACGCTCAATATTATTTGAACCTGCCGGAAGCCAATTTAGGTAAACGTGCCAATTGGCGCTTAGAGTACAACTTGAAGGAGCACTACGAGCTAAACGAAGTAACAGCGGCAAGTCTCCACGACCTTGCCGATCGATTCACGCAACCAAGACACAATGCATTCGTCAGGTAAAAAGCAACAGGCAATACAAACTCCGCATGCAGTGAATAATTTCCATTTCTTTAAGTCTTAAATTATCAAGTGTCAAGATAGCCCATTAAAAGCTAATCACATGCTATTATTTCAGTTACTTTCTTTTCTCTTCTCTCAATCCCAATGCGAATTCTCCAAATTAGCGCGATACATATTCATACGTACGCTAATTAATGAGAGAAAATAATGCTAAGAATGGTTATTTCGTTGTTTTGAAAATTAAGTTTCGAAGCATTGATTTACTTTCAACGCAAATGTAACATTAATCTTGTAAAATGCTAAAACAACGATATTTTATGTTCAGGCAATGGTTTTCTTTCGTTCAAACACAGCTTTTCTCTCTCTCTCTCTCTCTCTCTCTCTCTCTCTTTCTTTTCTATTTTTAAGATAAATAGTAAGAACACGTTATACTTGTTACTATATAATTTTACATGCACGCCGTTGAATGTTTCTTAACTTGTTTTGCCCTTCGCATAATAATTTAGGGATATTGATTTTGAATGTAAAATGAAATGTTTTCAAAATCAATGAACAAATTATTCACAAATTCTACAATTTATTAAGTAAATGCTAATATTTTTATTAATATAATTTTTATTTTACATAGTGAAAATGACTGACTAGTTAGATTTGTCAATATCTAATTGTATAAATAAAGTATTATATGTAGAGAAATAGGACAAACGTATTACGTACAATCGTCGATGCAATTTTAATAATACAATATTTTTTTTAGATTTTAGATATTAATAGTTATAATTTGCAAATTATTATAATCACTATAATTTTAATACAAATCCTTTATTTTTTAAAGCATTATATATAATGTTATTAGAAAAAATTGAAAAACTATTAAAAATTTTAATATTTAATTAACAACGTTCTTCTGCCATTAAAGTAAACCAAAAAAATAAAGACTAAATCTTCATCTTTAATTGGACAAAATAGGCCAAATGCAAATCAATTTAAACATTCGACTGCAATAAATTTTATATTTCCTATGTTTTATTTTTATAAAGGCCAATAGTATAATTTAACATTGTTAAAGACAATAGAAATAAATGACTATCTAAATTACTTAAATTTATTTAATATAAATCGAATGACTCTATAAACTATTGTAATTAGTGTTAGTAATCAATAAATATTGAAAATATCTAATCTATAACTATAAGTGAATATTTTAATTACAAACTGAATAATTATTATATAATAGAATGACAAAAATTAATCGCATATATTATGAATGTAAAAAATATATTTAATATAAAATATTTTTTCCAATAATGTTTATTTTCAAATTTTCAATGATCTAACATTTATTAATTAATGATAATGTAAAGTTATAATTATTTAATTTAACATAAAAATTTTATATACGTGCATCAGTGAATATGTGAATAATGCTTGTTTAGCCTTTTATTATGTAATTGTCAGAGGTCATGTTAATAATTAAAATATTTGCAGTTACATGAAACAAAGTTCTTAATGCCCATGTTACTTTTCAATTTTGACCTTTTTTTTCAATTTTGAGCTTTTCACCTTTAATGCAACACCAAAAATAGACGACTGTGAATAATTACAAATAAGCCTAATACTTGTATATTAGTTACATAATATTAACGTAATTTTTAATTTTAAATCTCATTAATATCGAGTTTTAGAAATGTAATCGAAAATAGAGAAAAATTTGTAATCACATAATATTAATCATCTAGTTTATAAAGTAATTTCGCTTAGTCAAACTATGACTGAATATAAACTCGATAGAAGCAATTACAGTCGAATTTCCTAAAAGAATTAGACCATCATTAGCTAAGATAATAACGCTCATGTCTGACAAAATAATTGCATTAAAGCTGTCTCTCTCTCTCTCTCTCTCTCTCTCTCTCTCTCTCTCTCTCTCTCCCTATCTCCATCTTTCTCTCCATCCCTTGCCCTCCCTTTACCTGTCTCTTTACTTAAAAATTTTCCTTAAAATAAGGACGTAGTTTATATTTAAAAAATCTTCCCTTCATTTTCAGAATTTTTAAGACTCAGCACAACCAGACATATTTAATATTGTTATATCAGTTTAACGACATTAATTCTTTCTACTTGAAATATTTTAAAAATTATATAATTTTTAAAGTACTTTAAACAAATTTTATATCTTAATAGCGAAGATAGTGAAGAATCTAAAAATAAAGATAAATAGTGGATAATAATTTTGTTGAAATTGCAATGAAATAAAACAGAAACAACAAAATATTTCTAAATAACATAAATATAAATATCAATTCCATAGGTTATTTTACTAATTTTAATCCAACATGTATCAATTATTAAATTCAGTTATATTATTTTATCTGCTATTACGGAAGGTATTATGTAACATGTATTTGTTTGTTATAAAATACTATTACTCCACGTAGTCGAGTGCTTGTCATTTATAATTCCAATTCCAATGATATAATGAGCCATTAATATTTTTATTATTTCGTCTGTCAAATTTCTGTGATAAATCATCGACTCATGTGTTTCGAATTATTTTATCCATCGTGCAAAACTTTTATAACAACGAATCGCCTCTATAAACAAATCGTCATCCAAAACTCACATCAGAACGATCGCTAAAATTTCAGCTTAAAATTAAATCTTGTCGTTCTCTGTCTATCTAACTTGCCGCAGATACTACGAGGCAAATCGGGTATCCCTGCCCCGTGAGGTCGAGGAAATTTGGGGCTGCGGCGGCGCCCTCAATGGCCTCTGCGCTCTTCAACATTACTGCGCGGTCACGAGGTTGACGACGCGTGCCTACAGCAACTGCGTGTCTTCCTACGCATCGGCCCTCGCATCAGCGGCCGCGAGGAGTCCGAGTTCCGGATCCACCAGGCTCATCCTAATTATAGCTATCCTCATATTTCGACGGTAGAAATTGAGGGTAGAAGAGCGGATGAACGTAGGACCAGAGGTCCTGGAATAACTGCTCACGTGTAGGTACATACTCAAAAGCTCCAGGACTGAAAAGCTGGATGCCAAGAGCAATTGCGTCGTAAATCGGATGTTGCTGTAATATTACCTCGATAATCGAGGATGTTCCATGTGAATCTGTAAGTGCATGGAGTACAAGGTCATATCATTAATCGCAAAGCTCGTGTATTTCAATTTTAGGGTGTATTTGCTTTGTATTTTAAACGAAATCAAAGCTTTCGATATATTGCATATCCATTGAAGTTGAGTATCTGCTTATTACTGTAGATGCTGTTGGTTGGGCTAGACAAGCATTTACATTAGAGAAGAGAAGGGTTAACATATCTTCGAGAGAAGATGTGGTACTGACGTACAGATTAACTGTTACTAAATAATTAAAATAGCAATTTGCTTTTAGATAATTAAATATGGATGAAAATTAAGTCGTGAAAAATTAAAAATATCATTAATATAGTCCACAACTTTACGTATTTTTCTTTTATTAATTTCCAATGATATTTCATTAATATATCGCATTTTTTAGAGAAACATTACAAATAATATAATTATTTTACATACAGATTCCGTATTAATATATTAATAGCTAAATCATATGATTAGATAATCATATGATCAAAATTTAATTACTTTTTAAGCAATTAATTTTTATAATAAACATTAAAAAATTGAATTTTCGATAAATTAAAGGATCTAAAAATAATGAAATACTAAATATTTATTATGCAATAAATTAAGTTGCATTATACATCTACAACGTTATTATTAGTAATATTTAATATTGCTTTATTAATTTACTAAAAAACGTACTATGATCTATCTAAACGAGCATTTATTAAAATATAAGCGGTACGTGTTTAAAATTGCAAATATAGTTTTGAAATATGAAGCTAAATAAAATTCTATGTAATATGTATATGAAAATTACATTTGAAATCAATAAGAATATAGAAATTCATTTTAAAATGCTATTTAAACGATTTTATACCTGAATTTTTTTTTTTTTTTTTTTTTTTTTTAAAGTGTATAGAAATTGACTTGCCACGAGCTCCCCTCCACATTTCAAGACTTTCGTTTGTTAATTAATTTCTATTAAAATTAATATTCATGAATAGCTAGCACATCCTCTAATATAATTTAATTTAATAATTTATACATCAAAACAAAAACTTGTATCAATTATTCAAGAACTACTTCAAAATGTTTAACTGCATAACATAAAAAGGAATCGCTATCAAAGTCAATTAGATTATCATACTCATTTAAATGCTTATACGACCTCTATTCTTAATATCCCAAAGGTATAAATAAATACACGAAAATGGAAATTGAGAAATCATTAAAAAGTATAAGTGAAAAACATGCTCAAAGAATTTTAAAGAACATAAAATAAATAATCGGATATCGGTTGTCTACAAATTATTCGACAAAATTATAATATTTTTAAATAAGTAAAAATATAACAATTTATATTATTAGAGATTTATAACACTTTATAGAGCTGTAGCACATATGTTTATATCTAATGTATTAAAAACAAATATTGATATTCCTATTTTAAAGTTTACCTTAGTTATAATTTAGCCTTAATAAATGTTTGCAGTTTCAATAATCCGCGTAGGGAAATAAATGCAAACGTATGTAATAAAGAATTTCAATCATTAGGCATAACTTTGTATAAAAAATTTGTATAAAAAATATACGAAATTTTTCTAAAAACATGTGTGTTTATCAAAAAAAAAAAAAAAAAATTTTTTGTTCTCATAATTTTAAATTTAATATAATTATCAAAAGACTTTACTTATAATTCATAAATCTTAATTCATATATCTAGTGCTATATATAATAATTATATATAAATTATTTTTCTTTTAATTATAACCGATCGAGTCTTCGTTTGTAAATTAGTACACATCATTAAATCTATTAAAATAAGTAACTCATAAAATTAAACAATCATAATATACAATCAATTATAATATACAAGCTATATGAATTAAATAAATTGTATTTATTCATTGTGATCTTACATTAAATTCAAAATAAATTACATAAACATATATAATTATGTTTGGTGATATATATATATATATATATATATATATATATATATTTTTCCGCCAACAAATATTTCCCTACTAAAACTAAAACATGCATAAACTATGAGTAATCCTATAATACTATCGCGTCAATAGTTTATAAAATTTCAGCTTTTACAACGAATACTAAAAAACAAAATTAACTGTATAATTTAAAGAAAAATTTTAATACTATTTTACTTAGTAATTCTCATGATTTACAGTAAAGAATGTTAATCGCACTTATTATATAATAACTTCCAAAAAATAGAAAATAGCATTAAACCCTTCTCTTTTCGTATTTGTTTTATATTATAATCGTAAACTTACTATTTAAATTGCATTAAAAAAAAAAAAAAATAAGTACAGTTAATGTATTATAGAATAAACAGATGTTCGTTCGATGTAATCCAAACAGCAATCTATAAGCATACACATCTAATTATACGTAATACTGAATAAATTGAAGAGAGACCAAAAATTCAATTCAATAAATAAAAATCGGGTTACCGAGTTAATACAATTGACTATGAAGAATATAATCGCAAGACTTACATTCGACTTTTAAACATATCAAACTATCTACTTTTGAATGGATAATAGAATTTAAGATAAAAGATAACTTCTACAGGAATTACAATAAATTAACCTGTTCACGAACTGCACAAAGAACCTTATAATCAGTTCATTTTTTTTTAATGAAATGGCATCTACTTTCTGAAAATATAAGAATAAGTGACGTCGACAGTCAAAAGATGTAGCATAAACTCAATAAAATGTACATCTATCTCTACATCGCATCGCTTATCCGTCATAAACATTTTCAAACTGAGCTCTCACTATATTTGTATTATATATATATATATATATATATATATATATATATATATATATATATATTACTCGTGTATATATATTGAGTGTACATGTATATATGTTGACTGTAATCGTTGAAAAACTAAAAATACACAAAAAAAAAGCGAAAAAAGCGAGAGATATTTCCATATCGGCATATAATGTTCAAGCATTAATAGCTGTAGAATTGTTATTCCATGACATGTTTCTACAATACCTATTGGTTTTGTGAGCGAGCGAGTGAGTCAGTGTGTGAGCGCGCATGCGTGTGCGTTTGTGTAATTATTTATACGTTCTTAAGGTAACTAATTTTCATATAGATATCTATCAGATGTTTTAACAGATAAGAATGTAGCACAAGTAAGATAGAAACTGAATACGAGGGTATTAAAAAATGTTATAGTTGCCCTATCGTCGATAAGCGTATTATTTGTAATATAAAATATAACAATAAATATCGGTAAAAAGTTTATAAAATTATTAAGTATCAATAATATGACTGATGTATATTATGTTCTAATACATTACACTATAAGCTGTTATTTAATAATATAATTAACAAATTGCATAAGTATGATAATCATCATTGTTAGCACACTATGATATATAGTTTGGAATTAGTTAATAAACGAAATTTATTTTAATTATATCTCCAAAAGAAAACTAATCCTTAAAATGTCTCCTGTGTGAAAATACAAATGATAATTAAATATAACATTTAATACATTATCATTCAAGCGGTATGAAATGTCCTTAATTATTATAAATGTTTAAATAAATAATATTTGATGAAAAATATATTACTTTCGATATATTTAAACACATATCATAACTTCGTTCTTCCTTTTATAATATTAAACGTTTCTCTAATAATTAAGCGTCTTTTATATCGTAAAAATTATTATCTAATAAAAGTATATGGTTATTATCGCTAACCGCAGAAATTAATTAACAAAATAACAAGCATCAATCTGATCTCGAAAATAATTAATATATAAAATTTCAATATTAGAAAATAAATATCATAAAAATTGTCTCCTACAGTTATGTTAAGATATATTTCTGATAAATTTATATTTCATAAATAAATGTAAATCTATTCGACTTTGAAATAGATTCACTAGTTAAAGTATTCCATCAAAATTATATAAACGTATTTGTAATTGTACGAGTACACTTGACTATAAGTGAATATATGTTACTTTAATAAATGTAAATTGAAAAAATAAAATATTTATTTTATGATCATTACCAAAAATTTATTTATCATATTAAAATATTAAAATAGTGAATTAAATAATTTAAATCATATTGAAAAATTTTAAATAAATTCTTATGCTATAAATGTCCTATTTAAACTTTTTTTTTTTTGTCTATATTTTATTATATAATTGCAATATAATAAATTTAATGGCCAATTAAATTATTCTTAATTACTACTAACGTGACATTACTCAGGTTTAAATTTCTTAAAAATTTCGAAATTTATCCAACTTACATTTTCTATATTTCATTCATCGATCAATTAATTTTTCATTAATTTTGAGAAATTGATGCTAATTATAAACAAATTGATAGTATACAAGAATAGCTCTTTACATATTTGTTAGCAATATTAATAATTAGTATAATTTTAATAGCTGTAGCTCATAGATTATTTATGAATATAAATAATTATTTATGTAAGGGTCATAAACACAATAAAAGAGAGAGAATAAGAAAAATGACCTCATTCTAACATTCTCTTTAATTCAATAATTTGAATTTTACAATATGAAGTACTTTAATTGTGAAAAATTAAAAAATCAAATACTAAATGCTTTTGAATTATTTTTCACGTCATTTTTTTGTTAGTTAATAGATAGGACAATGTATTTACGTGGATTAAATTATAATCATAAAAATAATTGAGTGTTGACAAAATAAAAAGGAACTTCGTGTATTCTGTTGATTCTTCCTAATTTTTATTTATTGCTTTCAAAATAAATTGATGCAATAAATTAAATTCAGATCAAATCAATTTTAGTTATCTGAAGCTAAATCACATTTTTCGTATATACAAAACCGATTTCTAAGCGACTATGTATAATTTAATTAATAAGAAAATTAATTATCAGTCTACCATCTATAGAAAAATATTAAAACGAATAAAATGACAAAAGATTTTATATTATGATTTTATAATTAACTCTTTATTTTATATTAACTAAGACTAGGGTAACAAAATTTTCTTATAGTTTTTCATATTACATGTACATTCTTTGTAGGTTAAAAATATTTTATTATGCTTCAACATTATTTAAAGTAAAAATGAGCATGAACAAGATTATCTGTACGGAGGACAAAAGAATATGATATATAATAATTCTTTGATAACGCCATAATCCTACACGCTACTACTCTTTTCACCAACTTATATTTTGTCGGAAGTAAGTAGAAGACTAATAACAACGAATTTGTCA